GCACCCGCCGCCCGGCGCGATCGCCCAGCTGCGGGCGCTGCCTTACTGCGCGACGCGACGGGCTCAGCGTCCCGCTTTCGTAAGGCCGAGGCGCCGGCCCTCCTCGGCGCCGCGGTCACTGCGCGTCCTGTGCCACCGCCTTTCCTCCCTAGGCCGCTGCTCCCTCTGCACCGTCCCTACCGCCCAGGGTGCGGAGAAGCCCCCGAACCCCTTCACCTGGACGACCCGGCGGGCAGCCGCCATCTTGCTGCCCATCGTGACCCCGGGAAAGGGCAGCTTCGGGCTCAAGTGAGCCGCGGTGGTATCCGCATTGGCTGGCAGCTGGGGGCGGGGCCTATCGTGACGTCACGGAAGCGGGGCGCGCGGCGCCAGACAGGGCTGGTCTTGACCTAGTTGACCCGCCCCCTCCATGCGGGCCCCGCCCCACCCCGCCCACGCCCGCCCAGGACGTGAACCACGTGTTTCTTATTGTGGGTTTTTTGTTTTTGTTTTTGTTTTTTTTAAAGAGTAAAAGAAGGGCAACAAAACAGTAGGTGGATACACGGAATTACAGACAAAGTGGTAGGACATTATCAAGGGTTTTACCTATTGGTATCTTGAAGATAGTTTCTCAGGAAAACAAATAGACAAGTAATAGCGAGTTAGAGAAATGGCAAGAAATTATCAATGGTTGTTGTACTATACCCTGGTTTCTTCAAAGTGGACTCTAGGGAAAACAAATAGAGCTATACATGAGTGATCAATCAAATAATCATTGGCTATTCTCAAGGGTTGGTGTTGCAAACACATAGTAATAAACATACATCCATTTAGGAAATAGCATAGGAGCAATACAAACGTTACAGAATTATGGACAGATTGGTAGGAAATCATCAATGGCTGCTGCAATACATGTTAGCATCCTCAGAGTGGTTTCTCAGGAAAACAAAGATATGCAAGAAAGAGTCCTATTGCATTTTGTACCAGAGGGTTTGTAATCCTGGTTTGACTATATTTGGTTGAGCCTAGGTCTTGGCTAGGGCTAACTAGCTATTCCCAGATACCCAGGTCCTAATTCCAGTACAGTTCAAAGTTTAATCTGAAGCCAAAAAAGTAATACTTTTTTCCTAAAATGCTTTCCTAAAATGAACAGTCTTGTTCAAGCTTAGCGTTAGCCTCACCATATTCCCTTGTTGACCGGCATTGCTTGATTTCAGCCAGTTTGCTCCTTGGTTTCCCAACCTTGGGAGCGACTTACATACACATTATCAAGCCCAAATACGGGCTGTCTGAGTTACTATGTATTTCTCTAATTCGTTATTCCTGATAATGAACTGCTGCCTCTGCTTCAAGTTTGAGAGAACCCCAAAGTTCAGAGATCAGGAGGCCTATTCTTTCTTTCTTTCTTTCTTTTTTTTTTTTTTTTCAAAATTACACACGTATTTTTTGACCAGCACTGGCTTGTTACGTTGTAGCCCAGGCTGGCCTCAACTCTCAATGATCCTCTGCCTCAGGCTCCCGAGGGCTGGGATTACAGTTGTGCACCACCATGTCCGGCTAGAAGGACTATTCTGATTCAATATGTATGTCTGTCTGTAGAGAACGCCACACGCTTACTTTTTTAAGTTTTCAAAACCTCTCTAAGCATCATGTATTCTCAAATTAGTCTGATAGCATTATTACACAGGCAAAGCACGTAGAGTTCACAGAGAAAGAAGTGCAAAGAACTTTAAACTATTAAAAGATATTGAACCTTATTCTATGAGAAATTTAAACTGTTCTTTAACACTCTTCATCTGACTAACTGCCAAACATAGACTCACAACAGCGGGGAGACACACGGGAAACCATCTGTTGTGCTAACTTGGGTGGCCCTAATGTATGTGACACTGGGTCAGCAGCTCTGGGTCAGCAGAATGGAAAAGCAGGGTGCGTTTGCCAGGGCGTCCCTAAAGAGATAAACTCAGGAGACAACTGGCCCTTTTGCAGGCAAGCAGACATAAAAGGAACTAGTTGCAGCCAGAGATTCAGGGTCTGCAGATTTGCCCGGCTGATTGCTTCTAGACCCCAAGACGTGAGCGCTGAGAATTTTTTCAGGTATTACTTTTATTTTTGAGGTTACTGTAGATTCACATGCAATTCTAAGAAATAGAAATTGCCTGGATTCTTTTGCAATTTGCATTCCCTAAGTGGTAACGTTTTCCTTAACTACAGTACATTAAGATGTTGGCATAGAGACTGTCAAAAGACAGAAGCGTTCTGTCACCAAAATGTTTCTCCTGAAGTGTTTTTTTAATTCATTGATTGAGTTATGTACTGGGGTTTAAACTAAGGGCCTTCACACTGAGCTACGTCTCCAGCCCGTTTTAGTTTTGAGTTTGAGACAGGGTTCCCCTAAATGCGAAGGCCCCCAGGCTGGGCTTCAACTTGTAATTCTCCTGTCTCAGCCTCCCATGATGTACTGCTCCACCATAGGCCCAAAAGCCCTGGGAGTAAGCAGTCACGGACTGTAACCTCCAGAACAGTGAGCTAAAATAACCCCTTTAGACCAGGCGTTGTGGTGTGCCCCTGTAACCCCGGCGCTAAGGAGGCCGAGTCTGGAGGGTCACAGGTCGGGCCCTCTGGGCAGTTTCAGTCAAAGTGAAAGGGGTGGGCGACGCAGCTCAGTGGAAGACCCCGTGGGTGCAATGCTCTGTACACAAGAAAAAAAAGACGGCTTTTTGAACTTTTTCTACATCTAACGTTACAACACCCCCACTGGCAGCAGCAGCACTTGCTACTCCAAGCTGAGAACTACCACAGAGGCCTGGGGATGGGCCGAGAGCGAAGGAGGGCGGAGGGCGTGACGTCAGGGGCGGGGCGGGCGGCTCCTCCCCCTTCACTGCTTGAGCTGCATTGAAGGATTCATCCCTAGGTGAGTGCCCTTCCCCACCACCCCAGAATGAAGAGGAAAGACTCAAAAATTCTTGCCATGGAGGGGCCTTCTCTGTACAGCTTAATAGTGATAAGCATGGGACAGTGTCAGACAAGACACTGGCTTAAAACATCTTAAGGAGAATTTTGGAGGTTTTCAAAAGGCTTCATGTGAAACCAGGAAAACAGGGTGAAAGAAATGGAACTCAGATTCGGCAGTGATGCCTTGGAAGACGGCCTTACGTTTGCATGTGTGCCGGCATTGTACACAAGTGTTTTATGGTTATTTACAAGAGGAAACCAAGCTCTTCCGACCTGGTAACTTTCTTCTGTACTTCCTCGTTCTTCTGTGTAATAGTGTAGGTGTTATTTCACAGTTTATTAAACGTTGTTTTTATTGCTTTTACCTTGATGTTAAAGGCCTTTATGTTTACGAATCGGAACCTCTAAATTAAGCAGATGACAGACTGTGGTCTCTTTAAGGCTGTATCTGGTACCAGATTTAAGAAAATTAAACCATCTAATATTTCATAATCTCCTGTGTGGATTAAATTAAAATGATTCCTAACAGTTTAGCAGTTTCTTGTATGCCTGGTATGTGTATTATTTCCATTTAGTTTTGCAAATGGTTTTCCATAAAACACATTTTCGCCAAGTCTGTGTTTGAACAATGTTTTTAAAGCTATGCAATGAGGTACGAATGTAGGGTATTTAATAAACTGGTGACAAAGCAAAGAAGAAGGAGAAGGAGAAGCAGGAAAAGGAAAAAGAGGAGAAGGAGAAGAAGGAGAAAAAGACGTAGGAAGAAGAATGAGAAGAAGAAAACAAAAACTGATATTAGAGATACTTGTGAACAATTTGAGGTAAAAATACCTGGGTTCTGAGAAACTTGTTCTGCAAGTGTTGTGAAAGACGAGCAAATATTTCTAATACATTCTAACTTCATAAACATGCCATATCTTGCAATACCAGTAGTTCATGTCACTGAATGTCACACGATCGCAACGGAGCCAACGGTTCCCCGCACCCTATGTGCAACAAATGTGAAATCATCAAACCAAAGATGATTAAAGAAGTGGTTATCAAGCACACTAAGCAAATACTAACATGCTGTTCCATGATCATAGTGGCTATTATTATCGCATATAAGATGACAAAACAGAAACATGACTTCTTAATCTTAATACATAGCCAGAAATATGGGGTAAGGATCCCTCCTTTAAATGGATTTCTTAAGGAAAAGCCAGAACCCAAAGAACATTCTAACCCATTAAGATTGAAACTATACAGTTTTTATTTCCTCTAGAAAGTTAAAGTGTGATTACATGAGAGACTGTACTGCTGTGTTTTCACGTTTTGTCAGACAGTGATTCAAACCTTGTTTCTTGGTGGCTTAGAGTTCATCCTTTAAGTTATCAGGTTAATAATATCCCTGAGTTACTGCAGGCTGATCAGGGCCTCAATCTCCTGAAGGAGTATATGGGGAAGGTTAAATAAAAAGAGGCAAAGGGAATGATTTCAGGGCTCCAAGAGGATCAGAGCTCTCTCACAGAATTTGAGATTCTCTGAGCAGTAAGATCAAGACTTTCTCCAGGTGGCCCACATTTATTTGGTTACCAGAAGAAGGGTGGGAGTACTCAAGAAGGGTAGGATCACTCAAGAACTTCTCCATGTAAGGTATTAAATGAATCCTTCATGAGGTTTAAGTTCATCCACCCAGGAGTGAGATGCCTGAAGCCAGGTGTCTTTATCTAGCTGAGATCAGATCCAGGTGTCCTTGGCTGTGATCTTGTCTTATCCTTTGAGGCTTACTGGCTTCCTCCGCCATTCCAGGCTTTAGTAGCGATTAGTGACACACAGAGGTCCACTTAGTATGAGTCCACCACCCGTCTCCAGACAAGGAGCCTAGGCCTTGGACAGATTCACAAGTAAACATGAGAAGCCAGTTGGTTACGTCCTGCTGGGGGCTGCTTCATTGTGGTCTCCATCACTAAGTGACCATGGGTTACACTGTCCATTTCACTGATTTCTACACCTCATTCGTTCATCACTTCTTGACCACTTCAAATGAACTGTTATACTCTGAACTGGGGCAGAGTGGAATAGGATGCGGAGGCACAGAGGAGTTTAAAAGTCCATTACTAAGTGCAAGAAGCTAATACAAGGCTGCAAACTTATGATTCACCTATTCTATGTGCAGGAGAAGGGAAAACTGTAGGAATGGGGAAAACAGCTGTTGGTACGAGTTTTCAGAGGTGAACTGACTGACCATGAGGGAAAGGAAGGACACGTTTCCCACAGTCTGCACTGGGGACGATGCACCTGGGGAGTCCAACCTTCCTCAAGCAGACCGAGTGCCTCCTTCCAAACTGGCTCCAAGTACTCAGCAAAGCATGACACACAGTGAGGCTTTGGGTCTTTGCAAGAAACATGTCTGCTGGGGACAGCCCCAAA